CCAGGAAATATTAAAAAGATATATAGGATGGCCTCCCCCTCCCCCTCCACCACAGGTTTGAGCTGGGGGAAGGGACACATGCAGCAGTAATGTGCAGAGCTGTTTTGTACAGCAATAACTTTGCAGCTAACCTCTGGCATGGTCATTTAACATATCTATAACCTTTAACTGATTACATAGATATATTAAATAGTTGTGGCCATGCCTTGAGCCGGTGGGGGGGGGGGATGGAAGTGACTTCCACCGATGATATAACTGGGAGGCAACTCCCCCTGGTTACAGCACCTGCGTGAGAGCTTGGAGATGATTGGCTCCAGGCCAATGGGTCACGCCTGCTCAGATCCACTGTGGCAGCCCAGTAAACTGGAAGAATGCGGGAGTGCTGGCAAGTGTAGCCAATTGTGGGAGGAGTCAGAAATGGGGCTGCAGGGGAGGATTGGCTCAGGATTGGCTCAGGTATTTAAACGGAGACACAGTGACCATTAAGGGGAAAACCATGCAGTTTTGACAGAGGGCAGACCCCCACAGCTTTGCAGAGGAGAACCACCCGGCTTGATCCTGGCTGACACAGCTGGTGGTGTTGGGATCCCGAATCTACTTCTTTTCCTGAGACATGGTACCCCAGTTGTTTAGGGCAGAGGGAGCAGGAAGGACTGTGTGTGTCTGTGGGTATCCTAAAGGACTTTAATATATATATATTTTTAAAGATTTTATTTATCTTTAGAGGGGAAGGAGAGAGGGAGAGAAACATCATTGTATGGTTGCCTTTCGTGCATCCCCTGCTGGGAACTGGCCTGCAGGGAACCGGCCTGCAACCCAGGCATGTGCCCTGACTGGGAATTGAACCACGATCGTGTGGTTCGTAGGCCTGCACTCAATCTACTGAGCTACACCAGCCAGGGCAGGACTTTAATATTTTAATGAAGACATTAAGTTACTGCTTGAAGTCTGTATAGCTTTAAATACTTCCTTTCCTTTTCACAAATCTCTGGCTTTGAGAGACGTCTTTTTCCTGGCGGAGGACAATGTGAACCTAGTGTGGCGTCCTTTTGGTAATAGTATATTGTACCCCGCCTTCCCCTGTTCTGTAACAAAACCAGGCCAGTTTCAGAAAACACCACCCAGAGGCACCGCCTTTCAGAAAAGCAGACGTCTGCAGCTCACAGTTCAGCTCCAAGCATCTCCTGAAGTATGGAGCAGTCATAGGTTGAGCATCTTATGAAGTATACAGCTACGTTCCTTTACGTTAAACATTTTTTTCAGTTACAGTTACACTCAGTATTAATTTGTATTAGGTATACAGCATAGTGGTCAGACAGTCACATATTTTACCTCACTTTCTCCCCCTACCCCCACCCCGATATTTCCAGTTCCCACCTGACACCAAACATAGCTACTGCACTGTTATTGACTGTATTCCCTACCCAGCATTTACACCCCCACGACTGCTGTGTAACTGCCAGTGTGTGCTTTTCAGTGCCTTCGTTCCTTCACATTGTAATGACCAGATGGCAGATGTGAGATAACTAAGCTGAAATGGAGTATTAAAAGCTGTGTTCCATTTCCTTATACTTTTAGTGACTAACTTTATATAGCAGACTAAATTTTTTTCTTATACTTAAAATCTTTTAGTGTAATTTATTTCCATATTTGCTTGGAATCCTAGCAAAATATTTGAGCCAGAAGGTTTTATGTAAAGCTTGAGCTAAATTAAACATAATCATTGGCATTAAATGGAAGCTAGCAACTTTGCAGTTTTAAAATCTTTGGTAGTTTGGGAATAATAAATGACTCAACCGTGTCGGAGGTGGTAATTCCCCGGTACAAGTTACCAGTCATACCGAATGTGCCTTGATGGCTTAACACTTTCTGAGAGTACTATGTTTTTATGCCAGATTAGAAGTCGAATATCCAAGGAGTGCAGCATGTAGGTAATTGAATTATCTTACTAATGAAAATGATAATTTGTGTAACTAATTAAAAAAACAAAAAACTGTGTATTAATTTGAAGTTCTATGCTGTTAAGGTTTTTGGAATGTGTATTTGAACCCACATGTAATTAGAGTATCAGATGTTAGTATTAGAACTTGATGAATTATAGCATAAGGAACTTGATGTAGGCCATGGGTTTTGTTTTTTACTTATTGGCAGTGAGGACTTTTTGGTGGGTCTAGTTAAGAGAGACCGCTCTCTAGCTTCTGTAACAACAAGGGCTGAAACAGGATTCTCCATCCTGATTGCCTATTAGAATCATCGCGGGGCTTTAAAAATCCAAAGGTCTGAGGCCATTCAAATAGGGTCTGTTGGTTTAGGACACTGGCGCTGGTAGATTTTCAAAGCCCCGCAGGCAGTTCTTAGAGTTCGTTGGTGCTGGAAAGGCTCCTGCCAGGTGCTTGGCCTGGTGGTCCTCAGGGGGTGCCGCCGGGAGCACTCAGGGGCTCACTTAAGTAAGGAACAGTTCTTTTCCTTTTTTTTTTCCTATTAAAGCTGGAATTTTAAAGGTTTTAAAGCCTCATTTTCAATCCCTTGGTCTATTTGAGAGGAGAGCCAAGATGTGCCAACTCTTGGTGCTTATAAAACAATTGTAATCAGAGCCATCCATTGTTGACTGCTTTCTGTGCCAGTCACTGGGTGGCTAAGGGTTTTCACGTACATTATCTTATTACTACTATTAGTATTAGTATTTTTAATCCTCACCTGAAGATATGTTTATTGATTTGGGGGTGGGGTGGGAAGAGAGAAACATTGATCATTTGCCTCCTGTATGTGCCCTGACTGGGAATTGAATCTGCAGCCTTTTGGTGTACAAGGATGATGTTCCAACCAGTGGAGCCACTCGGCTAGGGCTTCATTATCGTATTTAAATTGCATAATAACTTTTAGCAGTGGCTGCCATTTTACAAGTAGAGAAATGGAGACATAGAGGTTAAGTAATTTGCATCAGCTCAGAACATCTGGGTGTCCATACTGGGTAGAGAGTGACTTACTCTTTCTTACCTTCTATACGGTGCTGCCTGACTTCATCCTAAGTGTGTCCTTAGAAGATACATTGTTGCTGTGGAACTTTGATTTATTATCTATTAGAGGAAAATGGCTCCTTTATAAAGGATATTACTTAGTCTTGGATTTATTCAAGTGAATTACAGAGAAATGAAAGCTAATTAACCTACAAAATGCTGAAGATACGACTGGTTTTTAAAGAGCTCTATTTAAATTTATTTTATTTTATTTTTAAAAAAGATTTTACTTATCTTTAGAGAGAGGGGAAGGGAAGGAGAAAGAGAGGGAGAGAAACATCAGTGTGTGGTTGCCTCTTGTGTACCTCCAAGAAGGGACCTGATCCTCAACCCAGGCCTGTGTCCTGACTAGGATTGAACTGGCGACCCTGTGGTTCGCAGGCTGGCACCGGAGCCACTGAACCACACCAGCCAGGGCCATTTAAATTAATTTTAGATTAATCTCACTTCTTAAGGTGCACATATGTAACACGTCCTTCTTCCCCCTTTCCAAAGCTTATTTGACTTTTAATAAACTTAGTTGGAGATGGAAAGGTATAAAGTAATACTTTTCCAGTAGAAGTGTACTTTATATTTTGAGGAACACTTTTATTTTTGATGTTACATATTTTAACTTTACATAAAATGTTGAGGTTGGCATATTTGTTTTTAAATCAGGTATTATGCATTGAAGTGGGTATTTCAAAGTTATCATGGAAACCTGTATATTGGTTTTGTTAATTATATTCTAAATATTTAAAAACATCTGGTGTACAGTTTTCATATCATCCTTTTGCATGTGACATTTTCTCTTGGTACCATTTCCGCTTAATTACTGCCATACCCCTCATTTACTGTTTCAGAGAAAAAAGGTATTTACCTTGTCATCTGTCTTGTTATAGGGTGCTGTCAGCCTCTTTATTATGAGCCTTACAGAGTATCATTTGGGGATCCATTAGCTTGAAGCTACTTAATTTTGGTTGCTTATGGATATCACTTGATGGCATCATCTGTTCGAGAGGGAATGAGGTGGGAAGGAGGGCAAAGAAAAGAAGTGGAAGGTGGGAGGGAAGAAGGAACAGACACACAGGGCAGTCGGCACAGATTTAATAGTTAACTCCTAAGGCTTTGACCTCACAGTTGTAAGTGTTGCATGTGGAAAGCGGGCGCTTGCAGATCACTCTGAAAGGTGGCGTGTGCTTCTTTCGTGGGTTACAGAATATACACCCAGGGATGGGGTGACGCCAGGGGGACTCTGCATTGCACACCTGTCCCCTTCTCTTCCCCTCCTTGGACCTTCTGAGCTGGGGCTTTCTCCTTCCTGTGCTTTAGAATTTTGTTCAAATCTTTCTTTTATTAATTATCCCTCTCCTTTTGTGAGTTTGTACATTTTTAACTTCCCCCCCTAATTTTAGAATGATCTGAGGAGGCAGCTCACCTGTGCTCAATATATTTAATAGAAAACTGTCATTTTTCTTAATTTTATATTGTCTTTTCACTCCTCAGAAAGAAACTTTCTATTGACTAGTGGGATAGTCTCTCTCTTTAACGTGTCATATGCCAAATTTAGGGATTTTATGTTATAAAAATAATCCAGTAATTTTATAGTTTGAGGGGTTATGTTTTGATCAAAGCTGTGGTACGTTATTGGATGTTCAGTTATTAAAAATGTGCGTGTATATTGGAGAAATACACTTTTGAGATACAGGTGGTGGAGGTGAGTCACCGCCTGTTCCAAAACCAGTGCAGGTTAATGTTGCAGCAGGAGCAGTTTTCTGCGATGAAGATTAGCTTTCTCCATACTGTGAAATGATAAATAGTTTGTTTAGGACTGACCTGGGAAACCCTCAAGGTGCAGGATGGGTTCTTCTTAAGCCTAATTTTGTGCTTCGGCAGCAGAAGGAAAAGGAATTCGAACAGAGTCTTGCTCTGAAGTAGTACTGTCCCTTGTGTCCAGTTATTTAGCTGCTGTGCTCACATGTGCTGGTGTGATTTCCCCCCTAGATAAACAGAGGTCACATGACGACAGAAGCCAAGAGAGCTGCAAAGATGGAAAAGAAGATGAAAATTTTGCTTGGGGGTTACCAGTCTCGTGCTATGGGGCTCATGAAACAGTTGAATGACTTATGGGACCAAATTGAGCAGGCTTACTTAGAGTTGCGCACTTTTGAAGAACTGAAGAAACACGAAGATTCAGCTATTCCCCGGAGGCTAGAGGTAACATTAGTGCCTTGCAGCGTTGCCTAGAGAGCTGCAAAGAATTACCCAGGGCTTTCCTTTTCTAATTTCTTTCCTGTTTGGCTATCCTCTGAAGCTGATGCTGTCTGACTTTTTTCAGTGAGAGCCTAAACTTTTCTGATCTAGAGTTGCCTGGGTGTAGATGGATAGACCGGGCCAGTGGTAGATACACAGGCTTTTCCTTTACTAATTTTCTGTTTTGTGTAACGATACCTGATGAAGTAAGTAAACCTTGTGATTTGTCCCCCTGAAACTAACCTAATTGTATTCCATTAATATAGCTCTCCTGGGTACATTAGGCCATTGCATCAAATTCCTTTAGTCACAATTAGCTGTATTTCCCAAGTGTGCATGATAGCCCCATCCCAGATTAAGTGCAGGCAGGGCTTAAGTGCATTTGTGGGTATTGATAGGACAGTAATGGCTTGTTTACTTGAGATAGAAGCAGAGATTTTTACAAAAAGGTGGTAGTCCCATGACCAAAGAACGGGTGTAGTAGTATTTGTTTTATAGCACTAGTAGCCGCTATTCTGGTTTTTCTTTGGGCTGTACTTGTCTCCGAGAGTCATGACTGAACTCGGCTGTACGGTGGTGAAGTACCATGAAATCTTTTTAATTTTCAGTTTGCTTACATAGGAAATAATTATTTTAATATTTTTGTCTCTTTAAGTGTCTAAAAGAAGATGTTCAGCGACAACAGGAGAGAGAAAAGGAACTTCAGCAAAGATTTGCTGATTTGCTGCTGGAGAAAGAAACTTTAAAGTCCAAAATGTGAAGCGCAGTTCGTGTTCTGTCACAGGAGGAATTAAGTGCTGGTTTTCGTACTCCGGAAGGCTGAACCTGATGTTTATCTTCATTGACAAATTCCCCCATGATCTGTGGGGTTTGGTTGTTTATTCTAAATGATATCGATCTTACCCAATCTATGTATAAAGACTTTAACTCCACAGGACATTTTGGGGTTTAAATTATGACGACAATCATTCGTTAAACAGTGTCATATTGGCAACTTTTTTTGGTTGGCCTTTATTTTAAAAGCGTGATTTTCAAGTGCTGCCTGTGAGGATACTCTTGAATAAAAACAAAAGATAAAATTGAGAATGCAGCCTTTTGTTTGAAGTAATTGGGTACTGAAGAGTGCCCACATACCAGCCAGTGTGTGTGGTATGTGACAGTTAACGCTGGCTCTTCGGTGATCAGAATGGTGATCCAGTGTCTTAAATGAAACCCTTCAGTGGCAATCCTTTTGTGGCTGTTAGTTTTTACTGTTTTAGCATAGAATGATCATTTGTCTGTGTACTGACAAGATAGATTAACTTTTTAATACCTCTTTTTTTTTTCAATATAATTTTAGGGAAGGTCTTTCCTCTGCCCACCTATTTACATATGTAGTTAATGGACTAGTACTCAAAAGATTTAATTTTCCTTGACCTGTTATTTTCTTGTAAATAGTTACTGACAAAAGTATTTTAAAGATTAATTTCAGCAAGGTTATCAGACTTTATTAAAGCTCTGTGTTTATCTTAACAAGTCAATTACAAATGTAGAATTTGGGGATGGGTGGGTAGAGGTGGGGAGATCTAACTGTAACAATCCGTGTGAAGTCATTTAGGGCAGTATTGGTTGGCTACAGGATCAGTAGAGGCCAACCATGTGTTGGACTCACTGAAAAAATTCACCCAATCTTAGAATATTAGGGAGGGGTTCATTCCTCCTTAATGAAATGAAATTCCTCCCTCATGAATGAATCCCTCCATTAAAAGGCAGGGATTCATTTATTCATTCATCAGGTGTTTGTTAACTCCACACCTAGTGTCAGAGTCCTGGCAATAGAGCAGTGAGCAGAGTGGGTGGCCATGGGTCCTGTTTTGTAGAGCTTACTGTTTATTGAGAATGACAGACACTAAAATTCAAGTGTTGGCTGAGTGACTCTTAAACGTGCCAGGCATTTGTGAGGGTTGGAGTGGGATGGTTATTGAGACACAGTCCTTGCTCTCATGGAGGTGACATGTGTGGGAGGAGATGATAAACATACAGGGAGAAGTATCAGGTCATGAACTTCCTGTGGAGGGAACTAAAATGGGGGGATGGGAAATAGTGACTGGGTGGCTACTTTGGGTTGGGTGATCAAAGAGCTCTCTAGGGAGGTAATATTTAAAACAGGATGTGACTGACATCTTAGAAGGAGCCATCCATGTGAGATTCAGGGGAAGCGCAATGCCAGCAAAGTGAAGAACCAGCAGCACAAGGGTGTGTTTGAGCAACAAGGTTGCTGTGGCCAGAGTGTCGAGAATGCATTTGTGTAAGGCCGGGTTGTATGGAGCCGTGTTTGTAAGGCTGGAGTAAGGAGTTTGGGTCTTCTGTGATGGAAAGCTTTCCTTCTGAGCAAAGGAACGACAGGGCTAGAAGCGTTTCAGCAACATCTTGTCACCACGTCCTCAGACTAGGGTAGAAATGGTCCTGATGGAAGATGTGGAAAGAGTTGAGCAGCAGTTGTTCTGGTCAGACCATTAATTTACCTTTTCCTGGAATCTTCTTAATTCTAGTTCTTTTTCCCAGTAATTTTGCATAGGCTTAGGAAAATACTTTGATATCTGTGAATATTGATGTTATCTGATAGTTTTTATTTAATTTTTATTGCATGCTTTATTGGCTGAAATGTTTAGAATGATAATAACAATGATACTAGACATCCTTGTTCTGTTTCTGACTTGAATGGGAACATCCATAGTTCCCATTAAACATCCATAGTGTTTTACCTTTAGACACAGGCTGGCTGTTTTGAGTCAGATAGTCATCTAGAAAGGAAATTTCCCTCTATCTTTAGTTTTTAAAGAATTTGAATTGGGTATGGCCCTGGAATTTTGTCAGATAGCTTTTTGGGTATCAGTTAAGGCGATTATATAGTTTATTTTCTTCATTTGATTTGTGATTACATACACATGCACATACACATACATGCACATTTTTGATTTTGAGAGTACATTTATTAAAGTGGGGACAGTGAACAAGGAAGTGCTTAGCACAGAAGAAGCACCAGGAGAGCCCAGGCGGAGCTGCTCTGGCTCCCTGGGAAGTCAGGGAAAGGGGGCCTTGGAGACAGGCTCAGGGGGTCAGCCCGGATGAGCTGCTGCTGCCCACTGCTCCCCACTGCAGGTAAGGGTTGCAAGCCTCATGGCCGCCCTTAGAGATGAGGGGAGAACAGTAAAGATGCACGCCCGTGGGGCTAGAAGGGTGTGGGCCTGCTCCCCAGAGGGAGCGTGCTGTCGATGACGTAATAGATTGTCCAGCGATAGGTCATCTTTGAACACCTGAAATCAGGTAGATTAAGGGAAAAAAAAAGATTACATCCCTGGCTGGTGTGGCTCAGTGGATTGAGTGCTGGCCTGCCAGCCAAGGTGGGTCGCTGCTTCAATTCCTAGTCAGGGCACATGCCTGGATTGTGGGCCAGGTGCCCAGGAGGGGGCGCATGAAAGGCAACCACACACTGATGTTTCTCTTCCTCCTTTCCCCTCTCTCTAAGAAAATGAATAAATAAAATCTTTAAAAAACCATTTATAGTTTACTTGTATCTTATGTAGTCTAGAGTTACACAGATTTAAAATTGTTGATCTAACAGTAAAGACTCATTTTCATTTCAAAATTTGAAGTAATGCGTATACTTACAGCCTAAAAAATGAACAAGAATCACATAATGTCAAATCCGGTAGGCTCGGTGCATTTGTAAAGTATTCATGCTTTTGCCACATGCTTTGGCTGGTAAGCAGACGTGCCGCCAGCCTTTGTTAGCGTCCTGTGAAGCACCGCTCTGAGAGTGATTTTGGTGACGAGTTTCATGTTCACATGTATCACGTTCTCTTACAAGGCGTTCATTAAATGGCAGTGTTAAAACTAGTGTTGAAAAGCATGTTCAAGTCTCAGTAACTTTGGGACAGAAACTAAGTGGGATAAAGACCAAAGGAAACTACCACTATGAGCAAGGGTTCTTTTTGAAAGAGTAGAAATAATGGTGAGGTAAGAAAAAGCAGTCTCAAAGGAAAGCACTGCGGCAACTGTGGGCTTCTGCTGTTCAGTCATGCACCCCCTACTTTTACATTATTTTGGGGGGGAAATTAGTTTCAAAATATGTGGTGTCCTCTGGAACACATTCTTCCTAAAATGTGACTGCCTTATTGGTACTAGAAATTTGATTTGCTAATATTTTACTTAGGAAAATTGCATTTTCGTGAGTGAGTTTGGTCTTCTGGCTATGGCCCAGGTTTGGACTGGGATTTGCTAACTTGTGAAGCAGTTAGGATGACTGGATGCATTTTTCTGTGCATCAAGCAGTTATATTATAAGCCAGGGGCGTTTTATTCCATGAAAGATTGAAGGATGGTGCTTATAAAACTCGAGTTCAGAGCCCTTTCTGGAAGGAATTTCTCGGTAACTCAGTTTCTTTTATGATTAGTATGTCATCTATTTTTAAGTAACTGTAAAATTTGTTTTCAAATATATCTTTTCAGTCGTGTTTATTATTTACTAAATTTAGGTAACACATGTCTAGCAAACTTTACTTTTTTGAAATTTAGTGTGTTTATTAGAGAATTTTATGAAAAATAAATTTCTATTTCTCAGTTTGTTCCTTCTAAGAAATTTACCTTTTTTTCTATTTATTTTTCCTGGACTGGGCTTGCTAAAGGTTATCTTTTTTCACTTCAAAACAACCAATTTGGGTTTGTTTATCAACTGTGATATTGTATTAGTTTCTCATCATACATTTATCATTTTTGTTTTTTCTAGATTTTTTTTCCTGTAACTTTCTGAGTTGTGCTTATATTTTTGTTTGTATACAAATGAATATGTTGAAGGCTTTTGTTTATCTCATTTCAAATATATTCACATTCCAGCTATGCTGATATGTTTTGTTTTCTGGGTAGTTTATTATTGTTTTTTAAATTTTTGGTTTATTAAGAATATTAAAACATTTCTGTTGGCTCCCCCCCCAGTTTTTACTACTTCTAGGCTTTTTTTACCTTGTAGAAAGAAAACATGGCTTACTGCTCTGTAGAATTCACTGAGGTTTGGGGACCTAGCATTTAAAAAGTGTTCTGTAGATGTGTGTGTGGGACAGGTGAGCACATGTTGTTCACTCACTTTAATGACACTATTACTGTTTTATTTTCTTGTTTTTGGTTGTACACTACCATAGACTAGTCGTGTTGTCTTAAAGTCTCCTGATACAGTTATTTCTCTCAATTTTATGTCTGCCCAGTGCTTCAGCTCCGTGTATTTCAGTGCTGTTACATAGCACCCACACGCTCGTGTCTGTCAGGTTCAGTGTATAGGGAAGCCTTACTAGTCCGGAAAGTTACTCTTAGTCCAGTTTATGTTTTTGCCTTGAATTTTACTTCTTGGATATTAGAATATTTTTCTTTTTTGTTTGTTTGCTTGATAAGTTGGTTTTTATCCTCTTATTTTTAACTTTTATATAATTTTTCGTTGTTTCTTAAACAGCATGTCTTTTTATACTTCAGCCTGTTTTGAGAGTCTGTGCATTTTGTCAGGGGAGTCCAGGTTTTTTGCTTTATGTTAATTACTGACTTCGGTCTTCTGTGATCATGTTTCATGCTTTCTCACTGGTTCCTCTCATTTCCTGAGTGGACTTTAATTTCCTGGCTTTAATTTTCTTAATGATTTAGAAAATATACATCCTCTTTTAAACTTTACAAATGATTATGGTATCATTTAGGGTTCAGTATCCATTCATGAGAAAGCAACCCTACCAGAGTTTGAACAGGGAGAATTCAATGTGAAGAATTATTAACTAGTAACAGGGAATTGATTAGCCACCGAGAGAGGCCAGGACATCTCTAAAGAACACAGGACTAGCAGCTGTGGGGAGCCGCCATTGCTTGTAGACAGAGACCCGAGGGAGGGGTGCACTTGGAAGAGCCCTTCCCCCCCGCAAGGCTGAGACAGATCTCATTGAAGGGGATGTGTGGCCCACTGGGTGCAGAAGTTTGCTGAGGGGCCACAGTGTGAAGTGGCAGGCAGGGCCTCAGGGAAACTCCCTAGGAGGTCACTTGCTGGGCTGCCAGTGACACTTGGAGGGGAGCTGCCTCTGGGCTGCCAGCAGAACCCTGGAGAACATGCACTGCTGGCTTTCACCCATCGCTGGCCAAAGTCACGGGCTGACAGTGACTCAGAGGGAGCCACAGGGTTAGCTCTGGAGACAGGTGGCCCCTTCCCCTCGCAGTGTCCTTCTAGTGCCGCCGAGCCACAGTGCCTAGAACCGTGTCCACTGGCAAACGAGGAATGTCTGTAAGTTACAACGCCAGGACCACAAAGCAGGGCAAGAGGGTGGGTCCGTAGCTGGCCCGGTGACCATTGTTTTCCAGAGTCACGCTGAAGCCTCAGTTTTTCTTAGCGGCTAAGTAAGGAATGAAGTTGGTGCCGGAACCACTTTTAATGCCATTAACAGCTCCTTTTCGCTATGGTGAGGGGACTCTTTCTGGTTTTAGTTTTAGGGGAATCTTCTGGGCATGTGTGCCGTTTCACCATTCAGAGCTGTGTTATTTCATCTGGTGGTCCTGGTGGCCAGTGTTGGGGTTTCCATGGAACTTTTTGTGTCTCTGCCCTGGGACTTCCTGTGTTCAGGCCATTCCTTGGAAGTGTTTCCTTATTCCTTACCCCTCCTACAGTCCTACATTATTTCTTTGGTCCCCTTTATTCCACATTTTCAGACAAAGATAAAGACAAGGAGGGAAGTTCAACAATATTATCTCTTAAAAAACTTTATTTTTACCAGCAATACATGCATATATTTTACAAAATTAAGTTCTAGGATGGTGGTGATGGCTGGAATATAACAACCAAAGACCCCCCCCCCCCCAACAACATTTACAGCGTAACTAGATGACAAGCTCTCCAACCCCGAGAGCTCCAACATACGTGTTGGTGGGGATGAACCACCCATAGGCACAAGGCCCGTGTGTGCTGAGTCTGCAGGGAAGAATCAGGGAGGCAATGGGGTATCTGACACCTCTAAGAACAGAGCAACTTTAAAGGAGCCAACAGGTCCTCATGGAATGAGTGAGCTGTAGACCGATTTGAGAACTGCTGCTAAAATTGGGACGGGCTTTGCTGCAGTAGTGAGCTTCTTAAAGGGAGTAAAAGTTTGAAGAGAAATTAGCAACCTTGATGATAAACATGTTAACCATTTTTCTTTTTTAGACAGGCCTAAACATCTCAAGGCAAGATTTTTTCCTTTGGGGAAAAAAATACAACTTAGTACTGTGTAGATGCTAAGGTTATCACCTATAACATCTGTTAACTTGCTGTGTTGGCTTGTGCCGTCCGGTGCGGCAGCCACAAGCCACGCACGAGTCAGGCATTGGCGTGTGGCTGGCTCACGTTCCTGTGTGCTGTAAGCGGTTTATTGGATTAGGAAGACAGTCTGAAAAAAAAACTCATTTGAAAATATTGTTTACATGTTGAAATGAATGAATTTTTGATAATGGTGGCTTACATAAAATGTATTATTAAAATTAGGTCCACCTGTTTCTCTTTAAAAAATGTGGCTAGAACATTGAAATTACATATGTGGCTTGCATTATATTTCTTCTACAGCACTGTTCTAATTGTTTGTTATTGATTGCTAATTTAATTCCATTGTGGTTTGAGAACCTACTCTGGATGATTTCAGTCCCTTTAAATTTGTCGAAGCTTGTTTTATGACCCCAGCACGTGGTCCGTGGTGGGGAGTGTTTTTTGTGCACATGAAGTGTGTATTCTGCAGGCTGTAATGTTCTGTAAATGCCAATTAGGGAGGTCACGTCGATAAGCAGAACTCAAGTTTTCTATATTTTTAAATGCTTTTTCTCTCCACTTGTTCTGTAAATTGCCGAGAGGTGTCGTGAAATAACCAACTGTAATTGTGGGTTTGCATATGTCTCAGTTCTTGTTTTTCTGTTGAGAAGTTTTGTCTGTATATACATTTAGGATTATTACATTTTCTTGCTGAATTGTCACTTTTGTGATTATGAAATGCTCTTCTTTATATCTGGCAGCATTTGGCCTAAAACCTACTTTGTGTGATATTGATGTTGCTACTCTAGTTATCTTATGATTAGTGGTTGCAGGATTATCCTTTCTCACCCTTTTACTTTTAACCTCTCTGTATTTTAATAGTTAATGTGGGTTTTTATAGGTATTATATTGTTGGTTGGGGTAGATGTGTATCTTAGACTGCTTGATACTCCACAGGTTATTGAGGCTTTGTTCCTTTTAAAAATTATTGTTTTTCTCCTTCATTCTTTATTTTGTATAAATCATATTGCAGTGTTTTGAGTTTGCTGATTTTTTCTGCAGTGTCTGATTTGTTGTTATGCTTTTGCAGTGAAATTTTCATGTCAGATACTATATTTTTGTCCTTAGCAGTCCCATTTTGTTGTTTTTTATATTCATATTTTCCTTTACATTCTTGAGCACATAAAGCATGTTTATAATAGGTTGCACTCCTTATCTGCTAAACACTTTAGCAGATAAGGATTTTTTCCTGGTTCTATTTCTATTGACCGATTTTTCTCCTGGATCCCGGCCATTTTCCAGTTCTTTGGTCTAGAACCTACAAAGGTTGGTACACATTGCGAATGTTACATTGCTGGCTTTGTTTTATTTGTAGCAGGCTTTATTCCAGCAGATAGTTAACTTCTTGAGGATCAGTTCAATCCTTTCGAGGCTTGTTTTCCAGCAAACCGGCCCATGCCTGTTTCTGTAAATAAAATTGTATTGGAACACAGCTATACTCCTGTGTGAATTTCTTGCCGTCTGACTGCTTTCACGCTACAAGGGCAAACTGGGCAGTCGTCACACAGGCCATGTCGCCTGCAGAGCCTAAAGTAATTATGTCCCTGGTCCCTACAGAAAAACATTGTCTATCCCTGCTCTAGTATTTATTATTTTACAGTGAATTTGTAGGTAAATATCTAAACACTTTCTCCGTTTTGATTTCTACTACAGTAAATATCCATAGCTATGATCCACATAGAAGATTTTGGGGATCCTCAGTTTCTGAAAGTGAGGAGGAACCCTGAGATCCCCCAAATGGAGAACTGCCCATTTAGATTAAACTTGCGAGGTGTGAGGAATGCCTTCCCCTTGGGAAGTCCGCAGCGCTCCCTGGTCTCTGGTCAGACCCTTCCAGCCCCACCTGGGCCTGGGACAGGCTGGTGGTGGCCAAGTCTTGTATGTGCAGTGAGTCGCTGTCCATTATCGGATTCTGAGGTTTTTCGACTGAAATAAGCAGCAGAAGTTCTTAATTAGATTCTATTGTTTTTGTGTTTATTGATCCTAGAGAGGTGTGCAAAACACAGCAGGGAACACTAAGTAATTAATGCAATAAACTCTTATTTGCCCATGAGGTGCCTGAAATCTCATGATGGGAACAGATTTGACCAAATACTGAAATTAATGTTCAAGCCAAGTCCAAGGTCCAGCTCTTGTTTTTCTGCCATAAATAGCCACTGTGGGATCTGAAATCTCAGAGCAGACTAATCCCAGAACACTTACTTGTTTTTAGGTAAAACAACCCTTTGTGTTACTGCACCTAATAAAGCTGAGGGACTCATCTCCTGGAAAACTGACATAAATTGGAGGTTTAAAGAAATCCACATTCTTTTTTTTTTTTTTAAAGATTTTATTTACTTTAGAGGGGAAGAGAAGGAGAGAGGGAGAGAAATTTCAATGTATGGTTGCCTCTTGTGTGTCCCCTACTGGGAACTGGCCTGAAACCCAGGCATGTGCCCTGAGAATTGAAGTGTGGTTCTTTGGTTCGCAGGCCTGTGCTCAATCCACTGAGCTATGCCAGCCAGGGTGAAATCTACATTCTTGACTCATGAATAATCCGGATGTTCTTTTCTATATCTTGGGAATATATCTTGTACTGATAATCTTTAAAATTGAATTCATGGAAGAACAGTTGCCATTCCTTTCTACCAGTCACCTGCCCCGCTTCCCACCAAGAGTGCTTGGCTGAATGGGCTAAAAAATTATCCTGGTATAATGAAGTGACTCAAAAACAGAAGTTGGACCAGATTTTTGGAGTGATGCATATGGCCTACCTCTAGGAGATGCATCATGGATACATTGGAAGATGAAACAATTTACTCTGTGTCCCAGAGTAGCCTTTGCAGGGATACTTTAAGGGTAGAGCTGTTCCGAACATGTGGGTGAGGCTTACTCCAGTACTCCAGGAAGGACTCCCTGCTCCCCAACAAAAATGGACAGACCTGCCAACTACAGGAAGTTTAGTGTTTAAAAGTCTTTACTCGAGGAAGGAGAGGTCAAGGAAACCTGTCCAGATTTAGGATTTGCTCTCCTAAGAAATCTAGTGTAGAAGTATTTTAACATCCTTAGAGGTATCCAATGCCTGTCTCCAAAGTTCATAATTGGGTCATAAAATCTGGTGGAAGAATAAGAGAGAACAGAGACTTCCAGCTAAGATGGAGGCATAGGTAGATACACCTTGCCTCCTTGCACAACCAAAAGAAGGACAACAAATTTAAAAACTAAAAATAACCACAACTTTCAGAAAATCCAACTATATGAAAGTCTGACCACCAGAGAGTTAAAGAAGAAACAGTCATTTGGACCAGTAGGAGGGGCGGAGATGGGGAGCTGGGGCAGAGAGGACGCGGCAAGGTGGTAGCTGGAGGCCTGGGCGGGTGAGGCAGCAGCTGGAGGGCCGTGGGGTCCCACATTTGCGTGTGGATAAACTGGGAGGAACAACTGGGGAGTGAGACAGACCATGCAAACCAGGGTTCCAGTATGGGAAAAAAAGCCTCAAAATCTCTGCTTGTAAAAACCTGCGGGGGTTGAGGCAGCAGTGAAAGAAACTCCCAGCCTCCACAGGAGAGTTCATTGGAGAGACCCACATGGTCCTAGAATGTAAACAAGTCCATCCACCCAGGAATCAGCACCTGAAAGCACAATCTAATTGTGGGAAGTGAGGGAAGTGACTGAGAGCTGGACGAAAGTGAAGCAAGTGACACTGTTTCTCTCTGACCCCTCCCCCACATACAGCATCACAACGCAAGTACTTGGGTGGCTCTGCCCTGGCAAATACCAAAGGCTCCGCCCCTTACTACATGACAGGTGAGCCGAGACAAAGAACTACAGCCCAAATGAAAGAACAGATCAAAACCAAAAATAGAACTAAGTGATGAAGAGATAACCAACCTATCAGATGCACAGTTCAAAATACTGGTAATGAGGATGCTCACAGAAATGGTTGAGTATGGTTGCAAAATAGAGGAAAAAGTGAAGGCTATGAAAAATGAAATAAAAATATGCAGGAAGCCAACAGTGAAGGGAAGGAAACTGAGACTCAATGATTTGGAGCACAAGAAAGAAAGAAACATTCAGCAGGAACAGAATGAATAAACAAGAATTCAGAAAAGAGGCTTAGGAACCTCTAAGACAACTTTAAACAATAGAACATCCGAATCATAGGGGTGCCAGAAGGAGAAGAGGAAGGGCAAGAAATTGAAAACTTATTTGAAAAAATAATGAAGAACTTCCCCAATCCGACAAAGGAAATAAATAGACTTCCAGGAAGTTCAGAGAGTTCTAAAGAAGGTGAACCAAAAGAAACACACACCAAGACACATCATAATTACATTAGCCAAGATTAAAATGAAGGAGAGAATTCTAGAAGCAGCAAGAGAAAAGGGGACAGTCACCTACAAAGGAGTCCCCATCAGACTGTCAGCTGATTTCTCAAAAGAGACCTTACAGGCAAGAAGGGGCTAGAAAGAAGTATTCCAAGTCAGGAAAGGCAAGGACCTACATCCAAGATTGCTCTATCCAGCAAAGCTTTCATTTAGAATGGAAGGACAGATAAAGTGCTTCTCAGATAAGGTCAAGTTTAAGGAGTTCATCATCACCAAGCACTTATTATATGAAATGTTAAAGGGATTTATCTAAGAAAAAGAGGATAAAAAACATGAACAGTGAAAGGACAGCAAACTCACAGTTATTAACAACCACACCTAAAACAAAAGCAAACTAAAAGAACAGCTAGATCAGGAGTGAAAACATAGAAATGAAGATCTCAAGGAGGGTTAGCAACAGGGGAGTGGGAGGAGGAGCAGGGGGAAAAGGTACAGAAAATAAGTAGCATAGACAGTAGATAGAAAATAGATGGGGGGGCAAGAATCTAAAGAACTTGAGACACATGGTCATAAACTAAAGGGGGGTAACGGTGGGGATGGGGGGGTAGGGTGCAGGGGAATGAATGGAGGAATAGAACAACTGTAATGGCATAATCAATAAAAAAATAAATTAAAAAAATTTAGAAAGGATCACTACCAGATAATAAAGAAATTAAAAAAATGATTTTGCTTGATGACAAAACCTCAGCATGTATATATATATATATATATATACACACCTAAACAAAACCTCTTTAAGAGACAGGCTCATCTAACCTGAGACGTAAGTCACTCAATCACCTGGGCTGTCAGCACTTCAGCATCAGCCCCGGCACGAGCTCCCTGAGCGTGGCTGTGGCAGGGTCCGCACCGCCAACCGTCCCTGCAACGTGGCTGTAAAGCCCCATCATGGATTGTGGGCAGTTTCATCAGCGCCAGGGTGCATGTGTGTGGCCTTTTCCCAAGTGTCGCCCTAAGAAGCCAGGCCCTGTTCCAACACTGTTGCCACTGCTTTTTAAAAAAGAATGTCTTTGGAACTGCTTATTGGATTGTTTTGAATACCTCCAGTGGTGCTCGGGAAAGACGGACCAGTTCCTGTAATGGGATGGAAAAGGGAAAGGAAAGGGGAAAAGGAAAAAGGGAAAGGGAAAAGGAATAGGCGGGGAGACTGGTGAGACGTTAATGCAGGAGCTGAGACCGGTGAGGGGCGTCGAGGCCGTGGAGACGGGAGACAGGGGTTCGAGGGGTTTGTGAAGGCAGAGCTGGACATGGTCAGTGCCTGGATACAGATGTGGAAATGGCCCTGGTGAGCGGTCTCCGACGGGGGCAACGGTGATGATAGGAGTCAGTGGGGGAGCTGATTTTGGAGAAGAGATGAAATGTTTGTTGCTAGTGTAAATATCAAACAGGCTTTGGGTCTGGAGGTCAAGAGGGAGGTTGTTATTGGAGGCTGGTCTCTACTTATTCATGGAACGGACATCAAGTACCTGTAATCAAACAGCTTGCGAGAGGTAAGTGCCTGTGGTACTGAGATGGTAACGCCCCCCCCCCCCCGACACCACCTTAAGCCTCTCAAAGCTGACAGCTGTAGGTGCTTCATTATCTTTGCTTTATAGATGAAGATAACGTAGTCTGAGAGGGCAAATTATATCTATTTCATTTCCAGATAAGGCTGAATTAAGTGCGCGAGAGTAGGAAACAAGAAGAAATAAATGAAAACATCAACATCATTACTGGTGAAATTACAGACTGGAGGCTGGAGCTTAGATTTGTGCCCACAGTGACCTCCTAGGGGCCCCACCATCCTCAGCCTCAAAGCAGCCCCTTTCTGGGCCAGTGTGAGTTGGCAGAACAGACACGTTTACCCAGGCGGCTGCCTCATAACTGGTCTCTCAGAGCTATGGTCCTACCTGTTTATGGGTCCTGGCAACTTTGGGAAGAAGGCAAGTTTATAAAACATGGCTGAATTGCTAGGAGACAAGTCCCAGGATGATCATTTCAAGAGAACCCAGCCCTTCGCAGGCAGGTGAGGGCTGGGAGTCAGGGCACTGGCGGCTTACTGCCAGGTGCTCCCAATGGTCTGTGTCTG